TGAAATGGGAACGAACTTGGAGTTGACTATGACGACGCCAGCGCCGCCCGTCGTGCCACCGCTTTTACAGCTGGATCCACAGCAACAAAAATCGATGAAGAACTTAATACTCACCGTGGTCCAGGCGTTTTATGAGCCTAAACACATTATCCTTATGGACATGCTCTTGAGGCATTGCGTGTACGATTATCAAGTATCATATTCCTTAGTATCTACACACCGCTAACGACCCTTCCTTGTGAAATATAGTCTTCCGGATCTCCGAGCCAGTATGGAGAAATGTGGATCTTTCAGAGTTTTTACACAAGCTGGATCAAGGGGCCAACAAGCTATCTCAAGGGGCCAACAAGCTATCTCGGCATATCACTTCGGAGAGCAAAAATCAATTCATGAAGGTTCCCCGCAGGCTTCCAATCAACTGGTATTGCAGGGACTGGATGTCTAATCTCAAGGACGAGGAAACTCTGCGACTGGCTATGAAGCATCCGATCGATTTCCCTATGAGTGATTTTGTTGCTTGATTAGGTTCCAATCCGCCTCCTACTACAGCCTTTCTCCAGGTATTAATCAGCTACTCTGTCTTGCATGCGAATAAATGGCCATTCACTCACATACAAAACATCCCGAGAATTAGGAAGAGTCTACCAAGGAAAAGCCGCTGGAAGCTACGGACTTCATTGGGGTTAGAATGTCGGTAGTTTATTAATAACAGAGTGGTGAGTATATATGAGATATTCACATCAACCATAAGAATAATGTTGTATACCAAATAAGGAGCTCTGTTGAGTAGCCATTGACGCTCCAGGATCCCGCTTGGGATGTGGCCTGGAGAGGGCGTTTGCAAATGTTGGGTCTTCTATAAGTAAGCCGAGAGGACAAATAAACACGCAACCAAGGTCGCTCTGATCGTCTAAGATACAATTTGAGACTATTGGGATTTTAAGAGCCAGCAACAAGTACTTAGCTCTAAGTTGAAATGGGAACGAACTTGGAGTTGACTATGACGACGCCAGCGCCGCCCGTCGTGCCACCGCTTTTACAGCTGGATC